GGAAAAGACCTTGATGTTGGGAAAGTGTGAAGGCAAGAGGAGACGGGGACGACAGAGGACAAGATGGTTGGACAGTGTCATCAAAGCAACCAACATGATTTTTGACACAAATCCAGGAGGCAGTGGAAGACAGGAGGGCCTGGCATGCTCTGGTCCATGGGGTAACGAAGAGTCAGACATGACTTAAGGACTTAAACAACAACAAATCTCTTCCCCCAATACTGCCAGTGGTAAATGAAGTGTCTGTCCTCTGTACCTGACTAACATCTCTATTCTTTCCTTATCTATACCAAAGTATTGCACAATTTAAAATCATGGATGGATATGAAATATAGGCAAAACCAAAAACCAATTAAAGTGTCAAGACATTCAGACTATTTTTAACTAGAAATGGCAAAGACTGAGATGTGTGCAAAAACTTTTCTTCTTCTTCAACTGTCGTCCAGGGGGTTGGCATCCATGGTGGATGGGTTCTGTGCTGTTCCAGTGCAAAGCTTCTGGAAATGAAGGATTTGCTGGCTGTGTGCTGTTCCCCAGGGGACAGCCAAGTGTACTCACAATGCTTTCCCACTCTTTGGAGAGGCTCCTTCCAGGTCTCTATGTGGTTGCTAGATGCCTGACACATCAGCTCAGAAAAGTCGTGTGTTGCAGATGGCTCCCTCCTGACCTCACTGCTAAGAGCTATAAGTAACCTTTTCTACTCCTTTGTTCCCTGAGAAATACATCACTCTACCCTTAATTGCTCTTGTCTTCCTAGTAATAAATTATGACAATATTCCCAGGGGACATTAGGTTAGCTGGGGCGGGTAGCAGTGTTGATGTCACAGAGAGCTTCCCCAAGCATTGAGACCCAGTTGAATTATTAACCCCTTTGATCCTGGATGCTACTATTGAAACACTACTATAGAATGGTTAAAGCAACATAACCACCCAGCATGATACAGTGCTGTTAAAATACTGAGAATCTTGATGTATATAATGAAATAGTCACCAAATAAGTTAAATAGAACAAAAGCTATGGGTTTATAAGAAGCATACTGACAATCTAGTCTCTTCTTGTCTATTTTTACTTGGACTGTTTCTAGTGCCATGCTCCCAAAAATATGTACAAGATTTTACTATGCTTGGTTGTTCTTAATATCAACGCTGTGAATGTATCTCAGAAGGGTGGAAGGGTTAGAGTGGCCCCATGCCTCCCCCATCATCACCTGGTCTTTGCATATAATGTATACATAAAGGTAGAGAGTAATAGGCTTTATATACAACATATGTATTTTGGTTGAATATGCAAATCACATCAACAAAAAAATGTCAACTCTGTAGAAAAAGCTAGGAGGAGGTGGAGGTGGGGCCAGTGGGATACAATCTTAACCCCCATTTCCCTATGGTGTAAGCTGGTATTTGCAGAGAATTACATTTATGAATGTTTAAAACATTTTTTAATGGCACACAAATCCTTCACCCAATAGACCTTTTCAGCTTTTAAAAGCTTTGAATCTCTTTTGTACTTTTACATGTACTATGTAATTTCAAGTTTTCATGGCCAGTACTATTGGAACTTTGATGGCGTGCCTTTGAATGAAATGGCCACACAAATATCTTTTAAAGGTCCAACATGGGCATAGATCGGGATTGGGCTGCAGTGCAATTCTTCATACCTCATGTGATCACCAGGAAATAGATTACATCCAATCACTCCATAAGTAGTCCAAAATATAATCAATCCATGTGATCATGCCCAGTTACCATTAAATGCTAAGAACAGAGAATGGTAAAGTGAGTTAAAGGTTTTCTGGCACATCTTCTGTGTCTTTTGCAAATGTACAATTGAAATGTAAAAACCCATTATAAATTATGGTAAGCATATTTTAGTGTGAAACTTCTTAACACAAAGCTGTTACAAACCTGGAGGGCCCTGCTTTGTGTGGTGGTGCGAAAGAATGGCAATTCTCCTTCAGAATTACAAACACCAACTTTTACAAAATTAGAGGCAACAGAACTGCAAAAATAACTAGGTGCATGTATGCTCCCAACAAAAGCCCAGACAACACGCAATTCTAAGGAGTTGGTCAAGGAAGTAGATAATTTACCACAGATCTTTCTGGGCTTGAAGAACAACTTATTTTTGCGCTTCAAAAGCAGGTTATATGGTAAAGAACTGCATTTTAGCAGTAATATTACTACTATCTAAAAGTGATATGGAAAAATATATTTCTTAGAAGTTTTTTAAATAAAAGTTCACTGCTATACTGGGGTATTTAGTGGTGAAATGCAAAACTTAGATAAGAGAATACAGAGAAACCATGACCTGCTGCAATTGTCCATCTTTAAAAAATACGTATGCCTGAAAATGGTTGACATCAAACATTTTCAAAAATAAACATAGCTTCTAGAATCTTGAACATAATCTTTTCCTTAGCAGTCAGCAAATGGATGCTTTTCAATTTTCTTCTTTCCTTGAAACGAGGACAGATGAGTCATAGTTTTCATATTTTATTTCTGCAGATCATAAATTTTAGGCAAGAAGTGCTCACTGCTGCTCCACCTTGTGAAACTAGAAACTCTTGCTCTGGTGGTGGTGTTCACCTCTCTTAACTCAGGATCTATTCTAGATATTCCACATAGTCAAGACCAAAGAGGACCAGATTTCCCTAAGGTATTTCTCTGGTGTGTTATAATGAAGCACTGATTTTTTTTATTCACTAAAATATTTTGGGGGGATCTGAAACTCAAGCCATTTCCTCTCTCTAGTTCTTTTGGGTTTTTCAGTGGTTATACTAAGTTCTGATTTACATCTTTGTTTCTGAGGAACTAAAACCTAATTTTCACAGAGACATGAAAGTGTTAGTGTGAAATAGCCAGTATGTAAAAACCCAGTTAGAAAAAAATGTATTTTGATTTGAGCTAAGTTTCCTTCCCAAAAGCATAAGCATACTGTATTTTTCCATGTATAAGACAATACTTTTCTCTAAATATTTAATTAAAAATTTAGGGTCATACACGGAAGTAAGGAGGGGGAAATGCTTTCCCTCTCCAATTCCTTCACAAAAAAAGTGGAGGGGGAAAGCAGGAATCATCAAAGCACTTGATTCCTGCTTTCCCCCTCCACTTTTTGTGAAGAAGTACCTTTCTTGTGAGGAAACTGGAGGGAGAAAGCACTTTCCTCACTAGAAAGTGGAGGGGGAATGCAGGAATCAAAGAGCTTTGATGACTCCTGCTTTCTCCCTCCACTTTCCTTTGTAGCGAAGAAAGTGCTTTCCCCCACCACTTTCTTCCGAAGAAAGAAATTCTTATACATGGGGGTGTCTTATACATGGAAAAATATGGTACTTTTATCCTATAAACAGCCAAATTCCTGTAAAGAAACAGATGTTATATCATCCTAGTAAACTGGCATATAAATTATTTTTAAAAAACTAAATTCTTGACAGTAAACCACCAGATGTCCCTCTAGAGCTGTATGATTTTTTCTTAAAGACCATGAAAGATGCCATTGCCTTTCTTCACTTTTTGTGTTTTTGTTAAAAGCACACACAAGACAGGACAGATACATTTTTTAAAACTGGAGATTAAAAGGAAGTTTTGTAACTCCACCTCCAGTTTTTCTGTTATCAATCAAACCTGAGAGAAAGCCCAATCTGGATCAGAACCTGGCATACTGGGAAGAAAATCTCACCTAGTTACTGGAAATCACCTCCCCACACCCTATGTACAGCCACCCTATATGCCAGTACATTATTTAAACAAGGGCAAAGAGCAGGAATAAGGGTAGCAATTTACAATGCACAACGTCTCAAACATCTCAAATTTCTGTTCTGGGTATTTCTGTTCTACAAACTGCTAAATCGCTCAAAATAAGAGGTGCTTGGAGATGTGATTTTTATCACATTATCCTTCCTTATTTATAAAATTCTACAGTTAATCCAGATAGTCATTTTCAATTTGTAACTCCCCCACATTTGCACAGTACTTTTTCTCTGTGGGTTTTCCCCCCTCACAGAAAAGGAGAAGACACAACAGTTAAAGAGAAAAAGAGAAGTTACACAATGAATTGTAATAAGTAGCAACATGAGACATCCCTATGGAAGTGCTAAATTACTACTGTTACATTTTGACAATTAAAAAGCAACTTCAGATGAAAACAGAAGGAGTTTACAGTATTTCCAGAGGGAAGTTTCAAGACACCGTGAGATGTCAGCTATTTGAAAAGATGGACTGAGCTATAAAATATTATTCTAAACTCAGCACAGCTAAAACCCAAGACACAGAATTAAAACAAAAAAAATCCACCATAGGAGTTGGTCATTTTATCCAGTATGTAAACCCACAGATGCTGCCTGTAGATGTGATTGTGGTCTATATTTTAAAATCGTGTTATATCCTGACCATATTCTAGATTCGGCTTCTCTACAGTGAAGTAGGCAAGTAATCGTGAGAATTACATGTCATGGAAACCAACCCGCGCTTTTACATCCAAGTATATCCCAAACTGCTGGGAGTTAAGGGCCTGGTTAAGGATAGTTCTTCTTACACATGTTATCTCTTTTGCCCTTAAAATGATAATCCCTATTTCATTTGATACATGGATACCCAGTGTGATGTGGTGGCTAAGACTGACAGACAAGGACTCAGGAGGCTTGGGCTCAAATATCCACTCAACCAAGGAAACTCACTGAGGTGTGTAGGTGTGGGTGTGGAAGTGGTAAAACCACTCCTTAAACATTTCATCTACCTTGAAAGCCCTATTAGTGTCTCTATACATCAGTTCCAACTTGATGGCAAGTAGTAACAACAACTTGAAACGTAGCTGAAGCTGACCCACCTTGTTTAGCTCCTCCTAGATTCAGCTGCTGTTATGCTTAGTTTGACCCTAAGCTACTGACATCTCAAAGCAAGTTTCCATTCTAAAAATATGGATGATGAGAGTATCTGAACTGCCTCAAGAAACTTCAAATATTTCATTTTACATATTTTATTTTTAAAAAAGGAGTCAAAGAAAGTTGTGGTAAGAATATTTATACCTTTCCTTTTTTACACTTTTTAATTAACACTTACAAAAACATTCAAACATTGAGGAAAAATTAAATAACTTTGGAAGCAGAACTCCTTTCTCTTCTGGCTACATACATACAACATTTCTGAGTTGTTGGCACAAAAAATAATCCACATTCATAAACCCTTACAGCTATTAACAAACATAAATTAAGTAAATCATAGGCACTAGTTTATCAAATTCATGTTTCCACACTTTTTCAATATATCCAAACCTCTAAACACAGAAAGTCCTAGATGTCCTCATAATCAAATAAACTGTTAATGCACAGAATCTCCCTCAGTAAACTGGCAGTTTTTTCTTTGAGGAATTTATATTCGCAGGATGTTTATTATGATGTAGCAGCAGGATGTTTCCAGAACTCAAGACATCTTCAAAAATGATTAAATAGCTGAGTTTTATAAAAACAGTAGATTATAAAATAGGATGATGTAACTTGGTTAAAAAGGCAACATCTGTGTTTTTAAAAAAATAAAACAAAATCAGTTAAATATTTTCCTAATTAAAGCACAAATTAGAATTTATATCTGAAGACTGAAAGATCTACTTTGCTAGAGTTTAAAAGTTTTAAAAATGAGACTAGGTAGATTTACCTAAAATATCTGAGAACTATGTATTTTCTGCTCTGCACAACACAGCTCTATTACTCCCTGTCTCTGTTTTCCTATATGTTATATTGACTCTGGAAGACATACCAGATGAAAATGTTTAGCAGTAGCATTCACAGTTAGAAGGGCATCAGTTCCCATGCCATGACTGGAATTTATAGCACTGGAAATCATCCACTGTATAAAAATACAGTGTGGGAAATGCTGCTGTACATGTCTATTTCTAACATACGATTATGCTGGGAATCAGAAGGTGGCACACCATTCATGTATCTTTCTTGGCAAGTGACTTATGCATATCCTGTGCTGTGCCTTTATAAATCAGCACCTGTTGATTCCTATAATAGGAATACCATAACTTCTTACATAGTCATAAAAATGGCCCTGCATTTAACCAATAAAATGTTGCTCACAAGTGGTGAAGACTGCTAGCGCCAATATCTGGTCCTATCTATCCTGTTCACTTTTCCAATTCAAGTAATAATTGCATGGCTTTTTATCCACTAATCTATGAAGACTAGCTAATAATTTAAGGACTGAAATTCCAAACCAATCACTCTTTGTTGTAAGGTCTAGAAAGCACATTTAAAGAGGCAGGCAGGCAGGCATGAGTTTAAAAGGCAACCTACCATGCACTCCAAGAGAGCCTGCTGGATTCTTCACAGTCATTACAGAAAAGGTATCCTGACTAACTTCTTTTTTTTTTCATTCCACAATTTCTAAGTGCTGGACACTCTTAGCCAAATGTTATACTGAGAGACTGTCTATTCATCCCTTATAATGGAGGTGGTTTTTCCCTCCTTGCAATCTATTTTCATGTAACACACTTTCAATCTTCTAACACAGCACAAAAACTATAGAAGTGGTTGGGGTGGGGTTTTAATTGTAGCAGTTTTAATGTTTGGTAGGAGACACTGCCAACAAGGATAGGCAAAAACAGTAGTGAGTATTGGTTAGCCTGACAGCTACTACAAGAGCTAAACATGTTGTAAACATATGTGGCAGGATATTTTTTTAAAAAACATGTTTTTTTACCAACAATGTAAAAATACAACTGTAAGGCAAGTACATAGTTAACATACTGACATGGGCAATAACTTCAGCAGAAATATTTACAATTAACAACAAATTATTTTAGGAATTTTTTTCTTAAAAAAGAACAAGATAAAGAAGACTCCCTCTTACCATGAAACGTTGCCCACATGAATATATCATTTGGTATCAACAGTACAGCTCATTTCCTTAGAATCTCTAGGTTGTAGGTGCATAGTTGTCTTTTCTTCATTTTAGCTACTGGTGTGTTCAGTTAAGTTCCAGGCTACAAGCACTGTGCTGTGATTAATGGATACTATCTTTTTCCTTTTCAAGGAAACATGCTCTAAAAATAACTTTTCAAAATAGTGTGTTATTATGTAAAAATGTGGCTGTTAGAGCAAAGGCCATTTTTTCCTGAGCCAGGAACTGCTAGAGCTGGAAAGATTGTACAACTGATACTAAGCCCTTTTGGCAATAAAAAAATTACACAAAATCAGATATGTCAAGTCATCATAAGCAGAGGTACCCAATTTTGGGAGAGTTACTGAATCTAGATTGTTATAGACCAGTGACATGGCTTCCCTACCACTTCTTTAGTGATACTCCACAGACAAATGTACTAAATGGAACTGCTGTAATTCAACAATTTCTCCATCAAAATTTTCTACAATTGTTTTAAAAAATCTCACTAGCACAGTAGCACTTTGCAATCCAATTTTTGACTAATATGTTATTGTTTACAAATTACATCTCCAAAAACCTTGAATCAAATCAAGTAATGCATGTTTTAGAAACAATTTGCTTACCACTCTACATGCTGCTTTTTCACAATTAGTATTTCTTTGGCATTTTGAGGTGTCTGGCTGGATGTAGGCTATTGTAGCTGTGTGAGCATTTATAACAATTTTTAAGAAATAGGGGGAAACGGCGCTCCAGAGGTGAAAAGCAATTCATGTAAAAGTGATTTGAGTGATCACCAAGTATCTGATGTTAATGTCATTAAAGTGCTGTTTTATAATCTCTGCCAGCTTGTGCTAATTAAGGACAGAGGTCTAGGGATTTACAAACCCCAAAAGTCTTATCTGATCAGTCTGCATATTGATCTGTCGTTTAGCCTGGTGAAGGAGTACCTGCTGAGTAATGTAGCTTAGTAGCAGCCGTCCTTCCAGCTCTCATCTTTCATGTTGCTATAGGCTTTGGGAGCTGGTAAGGTTCTGAAATAGATAAAATGCATTCACAGGAACACCTTCAGTCATAACAAATATGCATATACAGATGGTTCTATAAAATCACACGATTTCACTGAATAAATTAACTGCAATTCATTTTTGAAATACAATGAAGGAAACAACAATATTTAGATTGTTAGAAAGAACTATTTAGAAACAATTTTCATTTAGATTTAGACCATGAAAATCACTAGAACTTTCAGTGTACCTTTATTCCTAGTAAAAAAGGAAGCTTCTGTTTTGATAAAGGTCCACAGGGACAGGGAGGATGCTAAATGATTGGTAGCCCTTTACAAGACTGGGAGAGACATTCCAGTCCATACCACCAGAGGTCAAACGTGAAACTTGAAACGTGAAACTTACATCTTTGACCAGATTTTACATCCCCCATTTTGAAATCTACCGTATTTTTTGCTCCATGACCCCCTTTCCCCCCCAAAAAAGGGGGGGGGGGGGAGTCTGTGCATCTTATGGAGTGAAGCTGGCGATTTTGCCCCCACTGGCCCCGTGGCGGGAGCCTCACAAGGGTCTGAGTGAGCCTTCCAGGACCCTTGCGAGGCTCCCCCCACCCCCCACGGGACCAGCGGGGG